TCCAGAATCCAAACCCTATATCAGTGCCCAACTCCATTTAGACTGCCCCTGTCTCTGGACTCCGGTTAACCATGTTTCCCTTTTGATTATTGATCTGTTACATACATTTCATTTCCGGTGTTCATTATTTGTGATCTGTCCTACTTACTAATAGACTTTGCATATGCTTCGTACATAGCCTTTATGTTTGCTGACTGTTTCCTATATGGTACCTACAGTATATAAACCTCCTGTAACTCTTGGAAATACTCCAGTTTGAATATCATCTTAGCTCCTGCTCATTCCTGTGTCCTCCGGACTCGAGATAAGTCTCTTGTCATATTCTGAGTCTTAGGATTGCATCCTAGACTACATTTCCGACTCTACCTTAAGGGTAGTCCATCCTCTGTTAGTTTCTAGTCCGGACTCCGTCCGGATTAGTCTTATCCGCTTGCCCAGGTAACATCTGGACGTCCATCGGATTTATCTCACGTTTCAGATCCGGACATCTGTTATCTGCCCTAGTCAAATCCCGGAAAATCCGGACGACTGTTCTAGCCCCCAGAAATTAAGGGCACATACTTGGGAAAGGGGCACAACGTACGAGCTGAGGCCAAGCCCTTGTGATCCAACCCTCCTCGAGCACGCGACCTTAACAGCCTGGAGGTCCAGAGGTCCAGAAGGAATAGGGGCTACATTGGATGAAGTCCAATGCAGAAGCAAGCAGAGGTAGACTACCCTAAGGTAGAGTCGGAGGGACAGGAAGTGGATCTAAGTCTGGAAAGAGGGTAAGTGCCAGAAAGGCAAGACTCTAGACTAGGGAAGCAATCCCTAGACTTGGGACGGAGACATAGGGGACAAATATGAAGGTCTGGAATTCCGGCCTAGGGAATCCATCCCTAGGCCTTATGGAAAAGGACAAACTCAGATGGACTGAAGTCCAGAAGATGATTGGCAAGTAGAACAGGATCTAAGATGAGAGAACAGGAACTAAGATGATATTCAGACTGAGGACTCTACTGTAGTTGTACAGGGGTTATATACTAGAGGCTATCCGAGAGGATCAGTAAGCAAAGGAGTAAGGCTATGTACGAGCATGAGGAAACACATTGGTAAGTAAGACGGAACATAAGTAAATGAACTCGGAGATGAAACTAGTACAAGGATCAATCAGCAAGACGGAAACAGAGATAACCGAGAACCGGAAATGCAGAGATGCCTAAATGGGGATAGGCGCAGGATCCAGGATGGAGGGTGGGAATAGGTCTGGAGATAGTACAGTTAATATCCGGAGGTCCAGAGATCTGGGGATCTGGAAGGCAGGGCAGAAAACAGGACTGAGATATGTGAGGTGGTGGATGTAGTCTGGAATCCAAGAGGAGGTAAAGTCCAGATGTCTTGCTGGATGGAATGTGCATAGGGTGGGCAGGATAGGGGATCCAGGAATGAGTCGGATATGGGGTCCAGAAATAGGTCCAGAAACCATGGGAATATGATGGGATCTATATCTGGCATATGGGATATGACACACTCAAGAAAGCCTTCACATCCACTCCGGTGCTTATGCACTGGATCCCGAATGTTCCTATTGTCATTAAGACCAATGCCTCTGATTATGCTATCACTGGAATACTGTCCATTGTATGTCCAGACTCAGAGCTTCATCCAGTAGTGTTCTGTTCTAGAACCCTGTCCGCTCCGGAACTCAACTATGATACCCACGACAAGGAACTCCTAGCCATATATGAAGCTTTCCGGACCTGGTGACACTACCTAGAAGGCTCATCCAAGCCTATTGATGTTGTCATGGACCACAAGAACCTTGAGTACTTCGCAACCACCAAACTCCTCTCTTGCCATCAGGCATGTTGGTCGGAGTTCCTCTACCAATTCAATCTCATCATCTGTTTCCATCCCAGAAAACTTGGAGCAAAACTGGATTCCCTCACTAGACACTGGGACGTCTACCCCAAAGAGGGGGATAAGGACTATGCTCAAGTTAACCCTCATAACTTCTGTCCGGTGTTCACATCCAAACAGTTAGCTTTGTCCCTACAAGCTTCAACCTTAGCATATCTGGTGCTCCAAGCAGCTGTACTCATGGATGTTGACCAACTACGAAACGATATCCTATCCACTTTCCCTAATGACCTTATCATGTCTGCTTGAATGTCCAGTCCTCTGGATCCCAGATGGACCACAGACGATAGTGGTTTCCTCCATTGTGACAATCGTGTATATGTCCCTGATTCCAATGACCTTTGACTTCGCATCCTCCGGAACACACATGACCATCCCCTGTCTGGACACTTTGGCCAGAACTGGACGTTAGAACTCATCCGACGTGAATATACCTGGCCTGGAATACACACCTATGTCAAAGACTATGTTAAATCATGCACCACCTGCACCTGAGCCAAGGTTCTGAGACATAAGCCATATGGATTGCTCAAACAACTCCCTGTTCTGGACAAGCCTTGGAACTCCATCTCCATGGATTTCATTGAGCAATTTCCAGACTCCTCTGGCTTCACAGCCATCCTCATCATCATAGATTGTCTATCCAAGCAGGCAATATTCATTCCAACCCATGATACTATCACCTCTCTGGACCTTGCTCACTTGTTCCTACTCCATGTGTTCTCCAAGCACAGTGTTCCATCCCATGTAACCTCGGACCGGGGAACAGAGTTCATATCCCACTTCTTCCGGTCCTTAGGAAAAGCATTAGATATGATCCTCTACTTCACATCTGGATATCATCTGGAAGGGGACAGACAAACTGAGTGTGCCAATCAAACCCTAGAACAATACCTCCGGATCTACTGTAACTATCAGCAGGATAACTGGTCGGAACTACTCCCCTTGGCTGAATTTGCATACAACAACGCTCTGAGTGCTACCACTGGAGTCTTGCCCTTCTTCGCCAACAAGGGACACCATCCAAACATATCCATCCACCTGGAATGTGACCTTTCCTCTGTCTGTGCACAGGAGTATGCCATAGACTTCAATGAGCTTCACCAATTCCTCCGAGAAGAAATGACCCACGCACAAGAACATTATCAAGGACCTGCGGATGCAAGGCGGATACCAGCCCCAGACTTCAAGGTTGGAGACCAAGTCTTTGTCAAAGCAAAGTACTTCTGTTCCACTCACCCTTCCAAGAAGCTCTCAGAAAAGAACTTAGGTCCTTTTGACATTATATCCTGTCCCGGATCGCATTCCTTCACCATCCAACTCCCAGAATCCATGCGCTCAGTACATCTGGTCTTCCATGTCTCCCAACTAGAACCTGCAGTTCCAAACACCATCCCTAATCGTATCCAACCACCCCCACCTCCAATAGAAGTCAATGGAGAACCAGAATATGAGATATCCAAAATCCTAGACTCTAAGTTGGACCACCAGAGACAACAATGTCAGCTTCTCTACCTCGTCTGGTAGTCTGGATATGAAGGGACAGATGAAGAGATGTCCTGGTTACTAGCCACGGAACTTGGAAATGCATTGGACCTAGTTTCAGTATTTCACTCTTCATATCCAGACAAACCTGGTCCAATTTCTGGATCCTCTAGCCTCCTCCTCAACATCCTTGTCAGCATCATCTGGAGTAGAGGCATCCACAATCCAGAATCCATTCCGGATCCCCTCCAGGAGGATGGACTGGAAGTCCCTCTGCTGCTGGATGAAGTCCTCCATGTTAGTATTCATCCACTCCATCACTAACCTACTCCCTTCCACAGCTCCAATACTCTCCTGGAGAAGCCCATTGGTCTGGGCCAGTTCCACTACTATGCTGTTGGCAGCAGCAACCCAGGCCTGGTCATCATACTCCACACTCCCCTCATCCATCTCTATTCCGGTCTGTAGATTGGAGGCTTCTTCCACTTCTGGTTCCTCAGGGGTAGGGCTCCTCTGATGTCTCTTACCCTTGGATTTCTGAGATGGAGTCACCACAGTGTGCTGCCTCTTCTGCCTCGGTTCCCTGGGCTTGTCCGCACTTCTGGGACAGGAGGCCCTATCTATCCTGCAGATGTCGCAAGACTTGATCTATCTGGATATCAGTACACCCAGTTCTGGACGTCTGAGACAAGGAATATCTCACCAGTGCATTAGACTTAGCATCCTCCCAGGAGCACACCTTACTCTTATTGACACAACGAGTGCAGGGAGCATCCTGAGCTCTAGAGTCTTGCCTTTCTGGCACTTACCCTCTTTCCAGACTTAGGTCCACTTCCTGTCCCTCTGACTCTACCTTAGGGTAGTCTACCTCTGTGTGCTTCTGCATTGGACTTCGTCCGATGTAGCCCCTATTCCTTCTGGACCTCTGGACCTCCTGTCTTCTGTACCTCCAGACCTCCTGTCCCTCATACCTCCAGGCATCCTGTCCTTCGGATGTTCCGCCCTCCGTACCTTTGGATGTTCTGTCCTCCATACCTCCAGACCTCCTGTCCTCCATACTCCAGACCTCTGGACATCCTATCCTTCCATCCTGTTTTCCTGTAGAAGTATTACCTTGCAGTGGGAACTCTCCTGAGCATTTCCTGCATTCCTCCAGAACTCTCCCGCGCTCTTCCGGACATTTCCTGCGCTCCTCTGGAAGTCTTCCCGCACTCTCCACCAGAGTAGCCAGCCTCCGGAAGTCCTCCGGACTTTGTTGGACCATCATCAGACTTCCTCTGAAATGAAGGGCACATACTCGGGTAAGGGGCACAGCGTACAAGCTGAGGCCAAGCCCCTCTGAGTCAGTCTCTCTCTCCTTTGAGCATGGTTCTTAACAATGACAGTGAGTCATCAATTGTTCTCTTCACAAGGCTAGAGACATTGGCAGTGACAAGCTCCAATGAAAGTACCTGCTAAAGAGGAGAGCTTGCTTAGGGCTCAAAGAGTAGGCAGTATGAACCAAGTAGATTCAAGTTAGAGAATACAAGTGCTACCCATAAGGTATATATACCATTGGAAGGGATAAGGGCAGGTCTGCCATATTAGTGGTAAGGGTAGAGGGTGAATGAGTCACAATGAGTCAAGATACCAAAGTAAGTAGAAAGTACCAGTTGAGCAGTAAGGGTAAAGGGGACATGAGTCATGGCAAGTCATGATGAGTCAGAATACTATAGTAAGTAAGAAGTACTGGTTGGGTGGTAAGGGCGTAGGGTCGGTGAGTCATTGGATGAACCAAAGATAAGGTACAACTGACAGAATGGTTGGTGAATGATCAAGAGAAAAGGGGCAATTGCCTGAAGAGGAAGGAGTCCAGTGAGTGTGTGAGGGAGGAAAATGAATAGGGGCTAAACAAGCAGATGTTATTGTAACACCTCTGCCTCCTCCTCCTCCTCCTCCTCCTCCTTCCCATCTCCATCTCCATCTTCAAGGCACAGAGGATCATCACCAGTTGCAGCAGCATGCCACCGACATAACTGTAATCTTTGAGCACCATGGTTACATTTATCACCAGGGTTAGTAGTCTATGCATGTTCTTTTCTGGTTTTTTCCTCCCAGCCCTAAAGGAGTCTTGATAATGATATTTTTTGGTGTGTCATTAGAAGTGGTATGTCGTTTGCTGCTGGCCTGACACATTATATCCACAGGATGAATGGTGGCCCTGGCTGCTCCTCCTTTGAAGGTTTGCTGCAAGAGAATGCAGTAAGCCTTGTTTTTGACAGTGAGACTCATTGAACAAAGTTTGAAGCTGCTCAGTGGGTCCTGGGATCAGGTCAAACCAACAGTGAATCAATAGAGCTAGACCAGCCTCTCCTTCATCCTTTCAGTGCAGCAACCTGTAGGCTTGGAACAGGATTTTCCCAAGGTGTCCCAAATGCACAGAATGAGGATGATGTTACTGCTCGACTCATCAGCTTCATGCAGCAGATCCTTGAGCTCTTTTTGGAACAAGTCAAAGGCAAAATGCAACTGTATCTAAAGGGTGAAAATGCATATTGATTGTATTCAGTATGCTAGGACATATGTGCCTTGTGAGCCAGAAGTTATTTTCTTTGAATATGACTTTTGAGAGACTGATGAAGATATCGCAAATGATATCTAGGAGAACCCCATTCAATTGGACCTCTCATTGCAAGGAATCTACTTACACCAAATGGACTCATGTCACAAGGATGCTATACATGCACCCATTGACACCAAGTAGTCAGAATGCTCCAATATCAATGTCTTCCTCAATGGAGACAGCAGCTTGCCTCCTGCCTTCACTGTCACAACACTGAGTGTTATTGAGAAGAACTACTGGACTGTCACCAATGCACATGACACCCCCCTTGTCATATGCCATTCCAGACTCTCAACTCTAAATCTGCTTCTCTGGATATCCGGATCCGAGATCCAGATCTCAAATGATCTGATCTATCTTTATCTCCCTTCCGGAATCCAAACCCTATATCAGCGCTCAACCCCATTTAGACTGCCCCTGTCTCCGGACTTCAGTTAACCATGTTTCCCTTTTGATTATTGATCTGTTACATACATTTCATTTCTGGTGTTCATTATTTGTGATCCATCCCACTTACTAATAGACTCTGCATATGCTTCATACATAGCCTTTATGTTTGCTGACTGTTTCCTATATGATACCTACAGTATATAAACCTCCTGTAACTCTCGGAAATACTCCAGTTCGAATATCATCTCAGTTCCTGCTCATTCCTGTGTCCTCCAGACTCGAGATAAGTCTCTTGTCATATTCTGAGTCTTAGGATTGCATCCTAGACTACATTTCCGACTCTACCTCAGGGTAGTCCATCCTCTGTTAGTTTCTAGTCCGGATTTCGTCCGGATTAGTCTTGTTCTAGCCCCCGGAAATTAAGGGCACATACTCAGGAAAGGGGCACAGCATACGAGCTGAGGCCAAGCCCTTGTGATCCGACCCCCTCGAGCACACGACCTTAACACCCCTCCCCCTCGCGCATGCACACACCTTAGATAAATTGTGCTCTATGCATTTGTATCATTGCCATGGGGAGGAAGAATGGCGAAATCACCATCCCAAAATTACCTGCCCTATATGGTTGCAATAAACAAAGATATTTCATTAGCCCAATCCGGCTGATGCTACATACAGTACATACTTACTTTCTGCAAGTATCTCAATCATTTTTCAAGCCTCTTTTGTGCAAGCCATGCTGTCATGGTATTCAAAGCACCAAAGTTTAGTGGTTTTTTGTGATCAAGTCTGACTTTGGACTTGATTCGCCACTTCTACAGAGTCACTTAAAAGTCATGTGTGTTGAAAATGAGTGGTCAGTTTTTGCACTTTCAATGACTTGCTCTCTGAGTCATGCTAGCAGTCAGGCAGTAGCAAGTTCAACATCTGCTTGTCAGCACACTTGTGTGCAAACTGCTGCATTTCTACTTGGTAGAGTCTGTCCAAGCCTACCTGATGTCAACAACAAAGACTTAAACTGCACAAACACTGTTCAGCATTTTTATGAAGGACTTGGAATCACTGACCACTCCAAAGTCATGGTGGAAACAGCTACTGCACAATGGTACCAGGCTCCTGAGCTTGAGAAAGGTAAGTTGAGCATGTGCATACTAGTGACTCAAGTCAGAATGCTCACAGTAGAGTTGTTCTAGTCGAATTTAGAGTGCCATTGCATACCTTGGACAAAATCAAATCAGTCACATACATGGACAGATCACACTCCAAATCAGATTCTCGGTGAGATATATTTGACTCCATCAAAGCTATGATGGATGTTCCAGAGCTGTATGAACACTTGGGCTGGTGCTTATCTACCGCACACCACATGGACCCACCCCATTGGCTTTTGACTGCACATGATATCAATAGCGCCTTCAAGGCCACAAGGGAGGAGCACAGCAGCTCTGGGAGGAGAAAGAAAAAAGTTGTGATTGAAATTCTCAATACTGTACATGTCATTTTTGATACCTGCAAGTGGTTTGTGGGACATGACCATCATGACATTGCAGGCACCCGCACTGAAAGAAAAACTATCACAATGAAAGGCCACCACATTATCTTCTATAAGCGAGCAGAAGCAGTCATCACACTTACTGTATACAAAAGAGTTCAACAATGTCAAGAACAAGTTGCGGTGCTTGGAGCATCCAGGAGATAATACCTTCTGTTGGGTTGATGTCACACAGCTAAATGCTCCACACTATCCACTGTGTACACAGGACCTGCAGGAGTGGGCCAAATACTTGGTATGTGCATACTCTTTTGCCTGCTGCAAAGCATGTTAATGATGTTCATTGAATGATCATAGCACCAGACTCAAGATCCTGACAATGCATGTGTCACACTACCCAGCACTGTCTATTGTGATGAAATTTGGAAGTCACATAAGGAATGCTCCGCATCATCACTCCAGAGAGTGCCCACCGAGGTCATGTCTCCCATTCAAATCCACAATCATATTCATCTCTCATCCTCTGTCAATGACATGGCAATCTCTGATGGAACACTTTCAAGATGACAAGGACACCCTACTACTCTTCCTCCCCCACTCAAGTGGATGTATGCCCTTCACATGGAGAGTGACAATGAATTAAGTGATGACGAACCACTGCGAGATATTAAGGACATCCTCACCAGTGCCTACTCTCACTACCCTACCATGAACTTTCCCCAGTATATTGGTAAACTGAAGGATCATGGTGTGCTATATTTACTGACCACAGCTCATTTCACTACTGGATTCTATGAGAAACAAATTGGCATGTTGGAAGGAGCTGCATATACTTTTCAGAGTTGTGTTTCTAAAGCTTACATCAAGGCAGAATGTGCAAAGGGGAGAAACCTCTCAAGCAACTTCTCCTCTCTCTCTTCATTATGCCCAGTGTCCTTCAGGGAGATCTGTTAAGGTCATACTCAAGGGATAACTGGATCTGAAGGGCTTCGGCCTCAGCTCATGCGCTGTGCCCCTTATTTCAGGAAGGCAAGACTAACGCGTCTGGAAGGTCAGACGAGTATCATAACGGGTCCAGATGACTTCCAGATGCGGGATAGGTATTGTAGGGCTAATCCAGATGAGTCCAGACTAGAAACTAACAGTAATGGACCATTGGAGACAGAGGTGGATACGGATAGACTATAGGAATCAATCCCAAGTCTCGGAGGGTGATGAGAGTAGAGATACTCAAGTCCGGAGGACAGGAATGAGTAGAACTAAGATGATATTCGAACTGAGGTACTACAGAAAGTTACAGGAGGTTATATACTATAGGTATCTAACAGAATGATCAATCAGCAGAGTCCAAGGCTATGATATACAGATAACTGAAATACCGGAGTTAGGGGGTTACTGAAAGGAGACAAGCGCTGGTTGTGGAGATAAGATGTGGATAGGATCGGAGATAAGATGTGGATCTGAGATGAGATAAGGGTCGGATCTGAGATCTGGATATGCGGATATGACAGGGACTCGGTATTTGGTATTTGGTATTCGGGGATTCCTTTTGATGCAGGGATGACATTCCCCGAGCAGCAGGGGAAATCAGGTTGAGATGCAACCATAGGGTCTCCATGATCTCACCATTGATCCGACCAATGCCTTCAATAAAATTCAACGCATATTGGACATAGCAGCTGTCCTGATTCACTCCACTCAGTTGACTTCTGGAAGACATAGGGCATGTCAACCACAGACACAGAAGCTCATGGAAAATGAAATTTCGGAGTTGAAGACCTACCTTCCTGAGTGGACTTTGGCAAAACAGAAAGAGAGGTGAGCAGTTTTCACTGCCATAGCTAGGGCTGCTAGGTTATTTGCTCCTAAGGTCGACCAAGCACAATGGAAGAAGAGGAAGCAGGTGATTCATCCTTGCTGTGTTGAAAAACTAAAATTTTAATATCTTATTCTTCCATCAATGCTCAGATATACAAGACTTGGTTGTTCAACAACAGGAACAAGAAGGAAAGGAAGGACATGATAAAATATGGGAGGAATGGACCCCTAGGATGGTGATCTACCAGTGGAACCGGGAAGAGGTGCTAAAGAGGATCGAGGACAAGTCCAGGGCAAAGCCAGGAGGTCCTGGTATGTTCAAGCATTATCAGGCGGCTGTGAAGAGAGTCATGGCTGAATTGTCCAACAATGAGTTGGAGAAGGCAAAGGAAACAGCCGAAGAATGGTCCAACAACTTTCCTCCTCCTGAGATACAGGCACAAGTCACTTGTAAGAAGGGACCTGCATGCTCCTATTCATTTTCCCTTCATTACTGTGTATTATGTCACGAGCTGCATATGCTGCTGCTAGACCTATCTCTGACTCATACCTTGTATTACATCGCAATCACTGTTGCTGTTGCTAGATGGTCTATTCTTGCTATCGCTTACGCATCCTTTATCTCTGACTCCTTCTGTTCTCATACCTGCCCTAAATTCTCACTTCTGGTGGAGCAATTGTTTGGACCATCTGTGTGTACTTTCTTTTTCTCTCTCATTGGACTCAATTGACACTGTGCACCAGGGTGCAGAAATTGTGCAGCTAATACTAGACCACAGGAAACTTCAGTCACCAGACATCATTTCACAATTGTCAATTCAAAACCCAAAGAGTTGGGAGATTTCTTCTGATCTCTAACTGTTGCTAATGGCACAGCTCATACACTGTGCCCCTTACCTGAGTATGGGCCCTTCATTTCAGATGAGGTCTGATGATGGTCTGACAGAGTCTGGAGGACTTCTGGAGGCTGGCTACTCTGGTGGAGTGCTAGAGGACTTCCAGAGGAGTGCAGGAAATGTCCAGAGGAGTGTGGGAGAGTTCCAGAGGAATGCAGGAAGTGCTCAGGAGCTGAGTACTGATATCAGTGTGATTCTTGAAAGCTTGGCAGCGTTAAGGTCACATGCTCAAGGGGGTTGGATCACAAGGGCTTGGCCTCAGCTCATACGCCGTGCCCCTTTCCCAAGTATGTGCCCTTAACTTCCAGGGGCTAGAGCAGTTGTCCGGAGTTTCCAGGATTTGACCTAGGGCAGACAACAGACGTCTGGATCTGAAATGTGAGGTGAATCCGATGGATGTCTGGATGTTACCTGGACAAGCGGATAAGACTAATCTGGACAAAGTCCAGACTAGAAACTAACAGAGAATAGACTACCCTAAGGTAGAGCCAGAGATGTAGTCTAGGATGCAATCCTAAGACTTGGAATATGACAAGAGACTTGGCTTGAGTCCAGAGGACACAGGAATGAGCAGGAGCTAAGATGATATTTGAACTGAAGTATTTCCGAGAGTTACAGGAGGTTTATATACTGTAGGTATCATATAGGAAACAGTCAGCAAACACAAAGGCTATGTATGAAGCATATGCAAAGTCTATTAGTAAGTAGGACAGATCACAAATAATGAACACCAGAAATGAAATGTATGTAATGGATCAGTAATCAGAAGGGAAATATGGTTAACCAGAGTCCAGAGACAGGGGCAGTCTAAATGGGGTTGGGCGCTGATATAGGGTTTGGATTCCGGAAGGGAGATAAAGATAGATCAGATCATTTGAGATCTGGATCTTGGATCCAGATATCCAGAGAAGCAGATTTAGAGTTGAGAGTCCAGAATGGCATATGACATCAATCCTAAGTCTCGGAGGGTGACAAGAGTAGAGATACTCAGGTCCAGAGGACAGGAATGAGCAGAACTAAGTTGATATTTGAACTGAGGTGTTACAGAGAGTTACAGGAGGTTATATACTATAGGTATCTAACAGAATGATCAATCAGCAGGGTCCGAGGCTATGTATGAAGCATATGGATGGTCTATTGGTAAATAGAAACGGATCACAAATAATGAAATGGAAATGAAGCATAGGTAATGGATCAGTGAGCAGGACAGATATACTGATAACTGAAATACTGGAGTTAGGGGATTACCAAAAGGAAATGAGTGCTAGTTGTGGATTGGGATGAGTTGTGGACCAGACCAGACGAGTGGACAGATTGAATGACGAGATGTTGGAGGGGGATAAGATGTGGATAGGATCAGAGATAAGATAAGGATCGGATCTGAGATCTGGATATGCAGATATGACAATCCTGACCATAAAGTTCAAAGTACGCCACCTGAAAAGCCATCTGCATGAATGCATCTGGGCTGAAACAATGACTTGTGATGAAATTCTTTCCATAACCCTTGAACTCGAGCGCCTGACAATCATTCTGACATATAAGGTCACTCAGCCATGTCTCAGCATACCAAATGCTGACTTCAATTGAAGGAGTCAGGGTCCCATCCTCCGTTAGTTTCTAGTCCAGACTCCATCCGGATTAGTCTTATCTGCTTGCCCAGGTAACATCCGGACGTCTGTCAGATTTATCTCACGTTTCAGATCTGGACATCCGTTATCTGCCCTAGTCAAATCCTGGAAACTCCGGATGACTGTTCTAGCCCCCAGAAATTAAGGGCACATACTCAGGAAAGGGGCACAGCATACGAGCTGAGGCCAAGCCCTTGTGATCCGACCCCCTTGAGCACATGAGCTTAACAGAGAACACCAATAGCTGTATGAGCAACCTTTATGAGTTGCAGTTAGAGCAAGTAGTTAAGTATTATTCAATAAGTCCTAAAAGCCAGAGGTCAAGAGGTGTGAGGAAAAAAAGTTTTGGGCAGATCTTCTCCCCCTCCCTGTCTAAGGTAGGGTGAGTGAAGTTTAAGACATGAGTCATGCAGTTCTGACCTAGGAGGTAAACAAAGAGGAGCAGGAGTGAGCTGTGGGTCTGTAGAATATGATGATGAAAGGTTGAAATCAGGGGGTGTGAGCCAATAAAAGTTATGGGTGGACCTTCTCCTCCTCTCTCTCTAAACCACACAGACTGAAGTTGAAGGCATAAGTCATGTGGTTTTGACCTGGGAGGCGAAGAAAGTAGTGTGGGAGTGAGCTGTATGTCTATAGAGTAGGAGGACAAAAGATGGAGGTCAGGAGTTGTGATAGAACAAAGATGTGAGTGAATTACCTCCCTCTCCCTCTCTAAGCCACCCAGACTGAAGTTCCTGGGTATAGGTCAAGCAGTTTTGGCCCGGGAGACCAAAAAGTGGTACAGGAGCCAGCTGTGGGTCTGTAGAGTAGGATGACAAAAGATGGAGGTCAGGAGTTGCAATAGAAAAAAGATGTGAGTGGATCACATCCCAGCCTCCTTGAAGACCAAGAAGGACAGAGATGAGGGCATAACTCAGCAAGTACTGAACCATTGGGCAAAATTCTTGATATGGGAGCATTGTGGGCTGTGACTTTCGCAGCCCAGGATGTGTTGAGTCCTCAAGGGAGCATGGTGAGGAGGGATGAGTGGAAGAAGGTGGTCCAGTGGGTGTGAGAACTTAAGAAGGTGATGGTACCTTTGGGTCAACAATTACTCAACTGTTACTCAACATTAAGGAACTGGACTTTTTTGTGGGACATTGTATTAAGAACCATGCTCAAAGGAGAGAGAGACTGACTCAGAGGGGCTTGGCCTCAGCTTGTACACTGTGCCCCTTACCAGAGTATGTGCCCTTCATTTCAGAGGAAGTCTGATGATGGTCTGACAAAGTCTGGAGGATGGAAGGATAGGAGGTCCAGAGGACAGGAGGACAGGATGTCCAGAGGTCTGGAGTATGGAGGACAGGAGGTCCGGAGGTATGGAAGATGGAACGTCCGAAGGTATGGAGGGCAGAATGTCCAAAGGACAGGATGCCTGGAGGTATGAGGGACAGGACATCCAGAGGTACAGAGGACAGGAGGTCCGGAGGTCCGGAAGGAATAGGGGCTACATCGGACAAAGTCTGATGTAGAAGCAAACAGAGGTAGACTACCCTAAGGTAGAGTTGGAGGGACAGGAAGTGGACCTAAGTCCAGAAAGAGGGTAAGTGCTGGAAAGGCAAGACTCTAGCCTAGGGAAGCAATCCCTAGACTTGGGACAGAGACATAGGGGACAAATCCAAAGGTCTGGAATTCTGGCCTAGGGAATCCTTCCCTAGGCCTCACAGAAAAGGACAAGACTCAGACAGACTGAAGTCCAGAAGATGATTGGGCAGATCTAAGGTGATGAACAGGATCTAAGATGATATTCAGACTAAGGACTCTACTGTAGTTGTACAGGGGTTATATACTAGAGGCTATCCGAGAGGATCAGTAAGCAAAGGAGTAAGGCTATGTACGAGCATGTGAAAACACATTGGTAAGTAAGATGGAACATAAATAAATGAACTTGGAGATGAAACTAGTACAAGGATCAATCAGCAAGATGGAAACAGAGATAACTGAGAACCGGAAAGGCGGAAATGCCTAAATGGGGATAGGCGCAGGATCTCAGATGGAGGGTGGGAATGGTCCAGAGATAGTACAGTTAATATCTGGGGATCTGGGGATCCAGAAGGCAGGGTGGAAACAGGACTGAGATATGTGAGGTGGTAGATGTACATAGTCTGGAATCCAAGAGGAGGTAAAGTCTGGATGTCTTGCTGGACAGAATGTGCATAGGGTGGACAGGATAGGGGATCCAGGAATGAGTTGGATATGGGGTCTGGAAATAGGTCCGGAAAGCGTGGGAATATGATGGGATCTATGTCTGGCATATGGGATATGACACTGCCTTAGAGTCTGTTTGGCCATGAAATTTAGGCCAACTTGACCTGAGAAATTTGCTTCTAGATTTGCTTTGTCATCTAAGCTCTGTGTGACATCAGTGTGACAATCAATAATCAAGAGATAATGAACAGTCAACATGCTAGCAACTTGAACTCAGACTAGATCTTCAAGGTCCAGGGTTAATGTCATATCCGCATATCCAGATCTCAGATCCAATCCACATCTTATCCCCCTCCAACATCTCATCATCCAATCTGCCCACTTGTCCGGTCCAGTCCACAATTCATCTAAATCCACAACTAGCACTTGTCTCCTTTCAGTAATTCTGTTAAGGTCATGCTCAAGGGCTAACTGGATCCGAAGGGCTTCAGCCTTAGCTCATGTGCTGTGCCCCTTACTCGAGTATTGCCCCTTATTTCAGGAAGGCAAGACTAACACATCTGGAGGGTCAGACAGGTAGTGTAGTGGATCCAGATGACTTCCAGATGTGGGGTAAGTATCGTAAGGCTAATCCAGATGAGTCCAGACTAGAAACTAGCAGTAGTGGCTGTTGTAGACAGAGGTGGATGTGGATAGACTATAGGAATCAATCTCAAGTCTCAGAGGGTGATGAGAGTAGAGATACTCAGGTCCGGAGGACAGGAATGAGCAGAACTAAGTTGATATTCAAACTGAGGAAACTACAGGAGTATCTACAGGGGTTATATACTGGAGACTATCTGAGAGGATTAGTAAGCAAAGGAGCAAGGCTATGTACAAGCATGTGGAAACACATTAGTAAGTAAGATGGAACATAAGTAAATGAACTTGGAGGTGAAGATTCATACAAGGATCAATCAGCAAGATGGAACAGGAGGTAACTGAAAGCTGGAAAGGCAGAGATGCCTAAATGGGGATAGGTGCAGGATATCAGACAGAGGGTGGGAATAGGTCCGGAGTTAATATCTGGAGGCCCAGAGATCTGGGGATCCAGAAGACAAGGTAGATACAGGACTGGGATATGAGAAGGTGGATATAGTCCAGAATCTGAGATGAGGTGAAGTCTGGATGTCTTGCTGGATGGAGTGCACATAGGGTGGACAGGATAGGGTGGTACGGATCAGGCTAGCAGTGAGGATCCAGAGGTCTGGAGCTCAGAGGTGAATCCAGAGCAGAGTCAATCCTACTGAGGTGTGGAGCACACAGCAGAAGGGGATCTGGCAATGAGTTGAATATGGGGTCCATACATAGGCTCAGAAGGCGTGGGAATATGATGGAATGTGGGTCCAGATTGTGGGATATGACAAATCCCCTGACTCTGGTATTTCGGTTATCTGTATATCCATCCTGCTCACTGATCTGTTACCTATGCTTCATTTCCATTTCATTATTTGTGATCCATTTCTACTTACCAATAGACTATCCATATGCTTCATACATAGCCTTGGACCCTGCTGATTGATCATTCCATTAGATACCTATAGTATATAACCTCCTGTAAATCTCTGTAACACCCCAGTTCAAATATCAACTTAGTTCTGCTCATTCCTGTCCTCCAGACCTGAGTATCTCTACTCTTGTCACCCTCTGAGACTTAGGATTGATTCCTATGGTCTATCTGTATCCACCTCTGTCTACAACAGTCCACTATTGTTAGTTTCTAGTCTGGACTCATCTGGATTAGCCTTATGATACTTATCCTGCATCCAGAAGTCATCTGGATCTGCTATGTCACTCATCCAACCCTCTGGACATGTTAAGTCTTGTCTTCCTGAAATAAGGGGCAATACTTGAGTAAGGGGCACAGCACATGAGCTGAGGCTGAAGTCCTTAGGATCTGTTTAGCCTTGAGTATGACCTTAACAGTTAATACCTGCTCAAAATTCAGTGGTATCCTCTCCCTACCTTCATATACATCCATGGTGAAAAAAAGCAACAGATGAGAAGAAGTAGGGTGAATCAGTGGGCCAGGGAGGTGAAAGATGTAACTGGTCAAGTGCTGATGAGTTATGTCTCCTCAGCTATGTCACCACCCATAAAGCAAAAGGGGGTGATGGACTCAATTTTGACAAGACATTTTGGACACAGGCTGCCACTGATGTAGCACACACCACCACAATTGGTGCGGTGAAAACAGCTGAGGCATGTCAACAGAAATGGTCTAGGGTATTTTTTTTGGCGCTCCCTCTGTCCTCCTATCTTACTAAAACAATTCAAGATGTGTACCACCTATTCAGTTGTTAACTGGGTTGTGAACTTTTCTGGAATTTCATGGAGCTATGAGCTTGGTGCCAACATCATGCCTGAGTCTAAGTCTGTTTGGGCAGATCTCGTTAGAGTAAGTTCTATCTACTGTTTTTACTAGTCCTGCCAACTTTTTCATCATCCAGAAAATCCCCCTTGTGAAGAGCTTCAAAAACAAGGGGTGGTTACCATATGAGAAAATAAATGCCATCCTGCTGTCAAAGGCATATGGCAGTCACACATATCACCCCCTGCTTCAACATGGCCCTAACTCAGAGGCAGGTGTGAGTGTGACTAGCCACACATTCAGCTTCCAAGAAGTTGACACACAGGAGCAGTCCCAAGCACTGGAGAGTCTCAAGAGTGGCACCAGTGAAACCTCTGATAAGGACAGTGACACCTTGATGATGCTGGCCCCCTCCTTCTTCAATCCTGCCAGCCAACCTACCTTTGTTCCCTCAACACTGAGGGCATCTTCCACCATGCTAATTTTGGTGGGCAAGTGGAAGGGGAAGCGCAAAGATGACCACAACAACAACAACAACTTGTGAGCACTCATTCACCCCCCCAATTCCTCCAAGTCCATCATCAATCCATTGGCATCAGGTTGGTCCATCAAATCTGCACACATCAGCATGCCTGAGGCTGTCCAGCAAGTGGGCTCTGAGATACAGGGTCTCTCCAAGGGTCTCACCACATCCTTTGATCATGCCACAACCGCCTTGGAAGAGTGCACAGCACACAGTATCTTGTACTCCGTAGATCCCATCCCTCTGCACAAGCAGAAAGCTATCCTTCAGGTGCAGGAGGAGGAGGGTCTAGAGGACCATGAGATGGTCACAATCATTGAGCACTTTCGCACTGATGTTTCTATTGCTGATTCCTATCTCACAATCAAGAGGGACAATGTCTGCAAACCCTGTTGTAGTCTGCCCACATTTGGCACATGATAGCATTGCAACAGTCATGGGCATGAGTATGAGCCTCATTGGAGGGAGGACCCTCAGTGAGCATGCCAGTGTGATGCTCAGGCCCTGCATATCTATTACCATTGTCATTTTCAACTTAGCAATAATCCATCATGTCATCCAGGTCATGGGCCTGGATGACATTGTGCACTAGGCACACTGCAGGGGGGATATGAGCTTGGATGCTCATGGGATAGAAAGGGTGGAGGGAAAGAATTCAGAAGTGGTTCTTGAGCATGCCAAAAATGCACTCAATAACATTCCAGAGCATGGTGTGACATAGATTGAATAGTTCCCTATGATTACAAGGCCTACAATTTGATGTCAGTATGAAAATGAGGCAATTGAAATGAAACTTACTCAAGATGGCCCCTGCCCCATTCAGCTAGGTGATAGTGCACATTGCGATATGGTACAAGTAACTCATCACAGGCTCCAAATCCCATGTCAGCAAGATAGTA